TGGTGGGGATGAATTCTCCCTACAAGGAAGAAAGAGGGAGAGAGAGAGAGGGGGAGGGGGTGAGAGAGAAAGAGAGAGGCAGAGGGGAGAGAGAGAGAGAGTGAAAGGGAGCAACAGACCTCTAAATGTGAGGGACCTACACCTCCTTCTAACGTCGCCTTGAATTGACATCGCAAGTTGCTGTGTGGAGCTGAGGATGGACTCGCAATCTGTCCTCTGTCCCCCCCCCGACACACACACACACACACACACACACACACACACAGACAGACAGACACAGACAGACAGACGCTTCTCGTCCCCCCCCCACCTGGTGTTCAATCTAAAGCTATTTATTGTTGGCGTTAAGTTGCTATTGAGGTGTCCGGGACGAGTGTACGTAGGTTTGGGGGGAAACGACAAAGGCTTTTATTATAATAGCAACGTGGGGCGGCTCAGCGGTGGTTGATGTCATCTCAGTGTGTGCAGTGGGTTGGGGTTGGGGAGGGGGGGGGGAGGACGTGGGTCTTTTCTCTGGCTCTATAAGGGCTGAGACATCACCACCACCACCTCTCCCTCCCTCCCTCCCTCCCAACAGAGAGGGACAGTGGGCAGATCGCCTCTGTTTAAGCCCAATTCTGGTGTTTCTAAACCCCAAACTGAATCAAAGTTGGTTTCCATCTCAAGGCCCTCCTCACACAGCGATTTCTCTCCCCTCCCCCCCCCCCCCCACGTTTTGGTTCAGTATTAAATGGCACAGTAACGGGTACCTTGGAATGATGGAATCTATTCGACTACAGAGTTCGTCTTTCGATATACATTAACCGATGCAGACTTGTGTGTGGGGGGGTGCAGTTTGGTCTGTCTGTCTGTCTGTGTCTGTCTGTCTCTGTCTGTCTGTCTGTCTGTCTGTGACTGTCCACACACAGGTCACAGCTGATGTACCAGAGCACTGTTGGCACCTTTGCAACTACTATAATTACAAACTGCTTTTAGCCATTTACTCCCCCAGGCTTTGGAACTCTCTCCCTCACCCCTCCTCCGCTGTGCCCTTTCCTTCCCCTCTTTTAGATCACATCTGAAGACCTTATGGTCACCTTCTTCCCCCTGTCCCCAACCGGCCCGGCATCGGGCTGCACCGCTGTTTAGTGCTCTGAGACGCTGCCCTGTGTGAAGGGGGCCACACAAAGGCAAGTTACTTTTGCAATTTGTAGCGCTGTGTCTCGTGGGTGAAGTGTACTTCCGTGCCCGTGTGGGCGCTGTCTGGTGTGGTACTGCGTACGTTCAACCTGTGCGGTAAAGTCTGTGCCAGTCAGTTTGAGATGCACAGATCATCTGTTTTCAACAGCCAAACCTTATAATAATAATTATTATTATTAATAACACTTGCATTTGATGTAGCGCCTTATCACGCCATTGAGACGTCTCAAAGCGCTTCACAGAATACGTTGGATATAATTGACTATTTTGTGGGCGAAACGCGGCAGTCAATTGCGCACAGCAAAGAAATAACAACAACAATAATAATTCTTACCTTTGATATAACGCCTTTCATGTTTTCGGGAGGACGTCTCGAAGCACTTCACAGGATTTATTGTATTGAGCCAAGACTGTGTGTTCTGAAGATGAAGAAAGAACATAAACACATATATATATACAAATGTCTATAAACGCTTGTCAAATTGTAAAACTTCAAGTCTTCAGAAAGAACTTGCATTTTTATTGTGTCTTGTTACCAAGGAAGTATTTTCTACAGTAACTGATGTCAAGTGCAGTGACGGGAATCAGCTAGTGTTTCTGCCCAGATCTCCTGTCATAGCCTTCGACCGGATTAGCAGCACGAACACAGACTGTTTCTCCCCTCTCTTAGCCCCCATCCCCCTCTCTCCCTAACCCTGAGACCAAGTATAGCGCCAACTGCAGCTCCAGCTGAGATCAGAAGCTCAACACAGAGCAGGAGGTGATGAGGGCTGTGACTGATTTGGTGCAGTAACTCAATGAGCTGTGACGCTGGCCCTGGGCTGGGCTGGGCTGGGTTCGGCCGTGACTGGCACTCTGGGCTGGTAGTGTTAGTGGTTGTGAGTGTGAGTGGGTCACTGAGCTGCATTCCTGCCATTCCTTGTTTATTTATAGACGTGACAGCAACCCAACGCAGCTTCCTGTCAGTGGTTTGAAACGCGAAGCTGTTTTGAGCAGGAGGAGGAGGAGGAGGGAGGAGAAGGAGGAGGAGGGAATTTCTGAGGGCTTTGCACCATGCGAACAGATCATCTTAATCAGGACGAGAGTGAGTGAGCCGTGTTGGGGAGTCAGAACAACCTGCTGTGGCGGTGAAATCTATCGCAACATATTCCCTCTCGAGGCCAGGCACTGGCTGCTTTCTATCCAGGCCCCTATTCAGTGGACAGACATTCTTAACAGGAGCCTGGGGTGAGTGTTAAGCTGCTAAGTGAGTGTGAGTCAGGGGGTGGGGTGGGGGGGGGTGATTTAAAAAGTTTGGGTTTGTCCTCATGTCTCTGAAAGGGTTCCCCCACCCTTAGAATTTGTGTGAGAGGAGAGTTTCTGCTGCTGTTGTTGGTCACTCTGGCACGGGCTGCTGTTATGTGTTTACAAGCCTCCTCTTGTGAATTTGTTGGCAGGAGATGGATTTTAGGTTAAATACGTGGCTCTGTTTTCCCCTCTGACCAGCGCGTATATATAACCGCTCCATTACTTTGTACTTGCCCTTCAGTGACCCTGAAGACCTTATTTGTTCTTGTTTTTCCCCACTCCCTCCCAACCTGGCTCAGTTATATTGATAATAATCCATGCATTTGATATAACGTTGAGACATCTCAAAGGGCTTCAGAGTGAATTGCGCTTCACAAAGACTCCAGGAGGCTGCCCCGCGTGAAGGGCGTGGTATAACTGCAAGTTGTTGTTGTTGTAAAGTGGATTGACTGAGTATTTTGTGGGCGAAACCCGGCAGCCAATTAATAGTAATAATAATCCTTGCATTTGATATAGCGCTTTTCACATCTTTTTGAGACGTCTCAAAGCGCTTCACAGAATATACTGTAAAGTGAATTGACTGTATATTTTGCGCACAGTTTGCACAATTTTATATTTTGCACAATTGGGCACAGCAGTGTTCCCACGAACAGTCATGGATTGAGTGACCAAATTTTTATTTAAATTGTTTTTTGGAGGGATTATTATCCCCAGGAATGTGATCCACCAATCGGTTAACAACCGGTTTACTACCTTACTGCTAGGTAAACAGAGGTATATGTGGAGTACAGAAACTTTCCTAAGGTTTCGCCCTGCCTGGCCGGGAATGTGAGGTGAGCGCACTAACCACTAATCTACGGGACTCCACGAGTGCGAGGCTTATGGTGGTAATGCGTTTCCTTCTGTATTACTCCGGAAACTCTGAAACACTCTCCCTCCATCCCTCCGCCTTGCCGCATCCTTTTCCATCTTCAAGTCACGACTGAAGACCTTTCCCGTCAACAGTGCCTACAGTCACCTCCGCCACTGTCGAGCTCCGGGTCGCCACCCTGCGTGAAGGGCGCTATATAAATGCAAGTTGTTGTTGTATTACAGCTCAATTGAACCTGACGTGAGGGCTGATGGAGAGAGCCAGCATGGGGGCCCAGCCCCCGCACATGCCTTTCTTCGACCCGTCCCACGCCCTGAACATCCTGAAGGGCATCAACGAGCTGCGGGCGGAGCGCAAGTTCTTCGACGTGACCCTCTCAGTGGAGGGGAGGGAGCTGCCGTGCCACAGGACGGTCCTGGCGGCCTCCAGCACCTACTTCAAGGCCATGTTCGCGGGCGAGTGCGGGAGAGCTCGATGGACCGGGTGGAGATCCACCAAGTCTCGGCCGAGGTGCTGGGGCTCTGGTGGACTTCTCGTACAGCGGGCGGCTGACGGTGACGGAGGAGAACGTGGAGGTGCTCCTCAAGGCCGCGGACCTCTTCCAGTTCCACTCAGTCAAGGAGGCCTGCTGCTCGTACCTGCAGCAGCGGCTCGATGTCGACAACTGCCTGGAGATGCAGGAGTTCGCCGAAGCCTATGCCTGCCGGGGCCTGGCCGAGGACACCAAGCGCTTCATCCTGCGGCACATTGTGGAGCTGTCGCGGGAGGAGGGTTTCGAGTCCCTGCCCCGGGAGCGCATCACCGAGTACGTCAGTGACGACCGCCTGCACGTGGACAAGGAGGAGACGGCCTACCAGATCGCCCTGCGCTGGGTCAAGGCCGACCTCAAGCACCGGCAGCGCTTCTGGCCGGAGCTGTTCCAGCGTGTCCGGCTGCCCTTCATCCGGCGCTTCTACCTGCTGGCCTACGTGGAGAGCGATCCTTGGTGTACTACTCCCCGCCTTGCCTGCAGCTGATCCACGAGGCGCGCTCCTTCCAGTCGAGCCAGTACGACCGGCACGACTACCCGTGTCAGCGCATGCGTCCGCGGCCCTCCACCGGCCTGGCCGAGATCCTGGTGTCCGTGGGCGGCTGCGACAAGGACTGCGACGAGTTGGTGACCGTCGATTGCTTCAACCCTCAGACGGGGCAGTGGCGATACCTGGCAGAGTTCCCCGATCACCTGGCCGGGGGCTACAGCGTCACCGCCTTCGGCA